GGTCACTGTGACCTCACAAAACTAAACTTTTAAAACTTTTTATAACTTAAGAACTGATAATCATATTTCCCAATTGGTGAATGATGAATTGTGGACACATTTAAAGGTCAATGTAACCTCAAAATGAGAACCTATTTCTGGCCATAATTTAAGAATTAGTGCTGTGGTTATGACAAAATGTCACACAGTAGTTAAAAGGGATACCATGATGAAGTCGTGATATTTTTTACTCAGAAAATTATGAAACACAGCCAAAAGTTGGCAGTGATGGGAAATGTGTCCTGTCATATACAGTGCCCCTAGAATGCAAGCCCTGGGCACATTTATGCATGGTAAATGGTAAAGGGGACCTGTACTGGTATAGCACCTTTCTTAGTCTTCCGACCATACTTCAAAGCGCTTTTACACTACGTGCCACATTCACCTTTCACCACATTCACTCAGTGATGGCAAAGTCCATCGAACAGAAACTAACTCATTCATACACATCAGGAGCAATTATAGAATCAGGAGCAAGGACAGAAAAACCACAGCAAATCTTCCAACTTAACTATGTTGCACTGACACTGGCCATGTGTCAACACTGGAAAAAGGCTTGCTTCCTCCTTTTTACGGTATAAAAATTATTTTCTGTTGAACTGAACTGGAATTTTTGTTAAATATTTTTTTCATGGTGGTTAAAAAAAGAAGGAAGAGTGAGGACAAATTCTCAAATGTTAAACAGGACAGATCCTGGTTTATATTGAAGTCAACACTCACACTGGAAGTTCATGCTGCGAGTGCTTGCCTTCAGAGCTCCCCTGGTCATTCAGATCTGAATAGTGACTCGCTTACAAAAGAAAAATTATGACATTTATTATTCATATGGTTACACAGTGGAGAGTTATAGCTGCAGATTATTCGATTTTTACACCATTTAAGCACACAGGGAATAACTAGCTTGTCACATGTGCTCAGTTTTGAGTTGTTAATCACAGGTTTGTTTAAGGTTGTGAGAAATGAGTCGCTTTGAAGAAGAGAAAACATGATGTATACTGGAAAACCGATGTTGTAAGCACATACATGCTGGTTATAGCCTTGTAACAATTACAGCCTTTCTGTGGAAATGAACGAAAAACAAAGTAAGTTGACTAGGCTTGACACTTGAGACCTAACCCCTAACCCTAACCCTTTACAGAAGTGCTTTTCATGACAACTCAAAAAGTCTGCTGTGAAAAAGGCCTATTCTAAGTCCCATATACATGATTCTGTAAAGGCAGTTCCATGAATGCAGCATGTTTTCTGTGTGTGTGTATGTGTATGTCTCTCTCTCTCTTTGAAGCGTCACCTCATGTTACAGTCTTTGCAGAGGTCAAGCAGAGTGCAATCCCACTGTACACAAGTATTTCTTCTTCTGCAGAATTTAAAGTATATTTTTTTCTTTTTTGTTCCTCTTTTCAGTTCTGATATGAATGCCAGGTTTTAAAATAAAATCTAAATGAAATGTGGGTAGCACTTTATCTGAATAGTCCACAGTCCGCCAACAGTTTATAGACTATTTGTAACATTTGCTATGTCTGTAGATGTTTAACACTGTACCTTAAAGAAAATATTCCCCAACCAACATGTGCCTAAACCTAACCGAACCTTACCCATGTATAGATTTAATCACCTGAGCTGCATGCAGAAATGACAAAAATCAGATAAATACAATCATAACAAGTACATAACATGCAGCATGTGATAAAATACAATTGCTACTGTTGTTAACAATGAAGAAACAACTTTACAATATATCTGGCAGGGCTATACACAGGAAGCAGTTTTTACTACAGACACTGTGGGTCAACTTCCATGGAGTCTCCCATGTTTCTACCCAGAACGGACAAATCAAACACTGGCTCAAGATTGCATTTTCTCCTTGGCACATGGAAGGCAGCTGCAACTGCAACACACCACTAAATGCCACTAAATCCTACACACTGGACCTTTCAAACTGCCTCCATCTTCCATCACCTTGGGGCCCCAAGGGCCAGCCAGGACATATTGTTCCCTAAGCCATACGGGCATTGAACACAGATTGAGTGCTTCAGGAAACAATTTTCTAACATTTTCTCTCATGTATCATTTATATAACTTCTTCTCTAAGAGGGGCCAACAGAAAGGTTCAGATTGGGCAGCACAGTGGCTCAGTAGTTAGCACTGTCACCTTACAGCAAGAAGGTGAAGAAGAAGAGTTCGATTCCCATTTGGAGTTTAAATGTTGGAGTTTGGAGTTGGTCCCCAGGCACTGTACAATGGCTGCCCACTGCTCCCAATACTTAGAATGAGTTAAATGCTGAGGACAAATTTTACTATATTGTAATGTGTGTGATTGTATATGTGACAATAAAGTTGATTCTAAAAAAAATAAAAATAAAATAGCCTGCCAGAATGAATTAAAAATATATAATAAATAAATTACTTGTTTATGCATTAATGAGGTAAAATACTCTTTAAATACGAAGGATCCTTAATTATTATTATTCTTTCATAAATTAAGCATGGTGGGCAGAGTGACACTCTGTGTGCAGGAAGTCAATTAAATGAAGTTGGGATCCTAGTACCATTCAGCATCTTAACAATACCACACAATGGCGTTTGCTTTTGGTTTGGGCACCCCTGGTATACTGTACACTGTATTTTCTGTGCTGTGTTATGTGCATTGTATGTATCTTTGGTGTACTTGTGTAGAAACCAAAGACACGTTTCCATTGATGTGGACAATAAAGTCAAGTAAAATTCCATTGGCATTTTTTCAGGATGCATTATGTCTGACAGCTACTTTTTAGAGGAAGTAATCTTGTCGGAAGTGTCAGAATATGTTTAGTTCAGCCATTACTAGGCCTGCATCTTCCTTCCATTTCACTGATGTAAACTTGCACTGCATGTTTCATGTTTAGGCTCATTCCTTTGTCACTATTATTGTCTTAAAATGTCCTGGTGTCTTATTCTATTCTATTCTGAGTCATGTTTAAGAAGTGTATCTCAGTTTGCTGTGATTGTTATTAGAGCTTTGCAGAGGGGCCTATAACATTTACCCAGTCGGGACACGTGATATGAAAGTTAATGCAGAGTTTGTTTTTGTCCCTTTGCAGTGCTGTGGGGGGAGGACGCAGCGGCGTCAAGCTAGCCAAAATCTCCGGAAGCAGTGCGGCTCTACCTTTAAATTAAAAGCATGACATTTGATGCTAAAACAAAATCATGAAAGAAATGTTTCTGCATCACAGATGTTTATGTACATATACATGCATGCTCACGCACATGTACTTTGTGTTGTTTTTCCATACTTTCATCACTTAACTGCTTTTTTATTAAAGTCGTCTGATTTTAGTCTAGTGTCTGGTCAATTAAGTGCAAAAACCTACTGGATTGGTTATCTGAGCTGACTGTGTTCCACTGGGTAC